AAAGATAAAAGGAATTTTTTAAAAAAAGAAAAAAAGTTACTTGGGGCTCACTGGTTTCCAGGCCAGGTTCCCCAGAATTCTCTTGTTCTCCACATCAGCTTCCTAGTCCTCTTGTGGAAGAGGAGGAAAGGAGCCCCACTTCCCTGACAAAAAGAGCACGCCACTGTTCTGCTTATTCATGTTGATGGACAGCAGATGCCGCATTTGGAAAAAGGTTCTGTTGAGTGGAGACACCCTCACGGAGAACACGCTGTCCTCCTGGGTACGGTGCTCAGCTTGGGAGTCGAGGGAGGAGTCCATCAGGCAGGCCCTGCTCAAGACAGGGCTGCGGGAGGCGCTTGCACAAGCATGAGAGGTTGACCTGCCCCGTGGCCCTAGTGTTAGATATTTTCGTAGTGTTAGGAGTGATAGGGGTTCTTCACAAGCTGGCGGCTCTCAGGAGTCTGCGGCTGCAGCTCATGCTGAACACGTTTCAAACCAGACTTCCTTCCTAGAGGCCACTGCTCCAGTGGGGTTTGTTCTTGTTGGGGGCTGCCTGCCATGATGGGATTTGCTCCACCTGGAGGTTCACAATTAGGTATGATGATTTTCACTCAGATTCTGCCAGCACAGAACTTGTTCTAAGGCTTATCTAAATCCTCTGAGGATAGAAAGATTCCTGGATACATGTAAACTTTTTTCCCCTTTATGTGAAAATGCTGCTCAGATGAAATGGAGCGTTTCTGTCGTGCCTCCTAACTGGCAGGGATGCACAGCTCAGTCTAATGAGAGGATACACAGGAAAGCTGGGCAGAGGGGCTGATTCTTATTATTTACTTAGTCTAATCATGAAAGGTACTATGGCTGTTGTAAGATTTTTGACGGTGTACAGTTTGATGACATCAGTTATATCATTCACCATCTTGTACACCCATCAGCACTGTTGCTTCTCCAGAAGCTTTTCATCGCCTCAAACCAAAAGTCAGTTCCTCTTGAGCAATAGCTTCTGATATCCTTTCTCCCTTGGTAACCACTAATAAAGTTTAGTCTCTGTATATTTGCCTATTTTTGGTATTTCTGGATTATGCAATTTATGTCTGTCTGTGCCTGGCTTATTTAACTCCTCATAATGTTGGGTTTTGGTGTGTTGTTTTTTTTTTTTAAATATGGAACGCTTCATGAATTTGCACGTCATCCTTGTGCAGGGGCCATGCTCATCTTCTCTCTTGTTCCAGTTTTAGTATATGTGCTGCCGAAGCGAGCCCCAGCATAATGTTTTTAAGGCTCATCCATGCCCTGGCATGGATCTAGACTTAATTTCTCTTTATGACTGAGTAATATTTCATTGTACGTACAAGCCACGTTTTGTTTCTCCATTCACTATTGATGCACATCAGATTTTTTATGCCTTTTGGAAACATTGCTGCAGTGAACACTGGTGTGCAGAACCTGAGGCCCTGCTATGGATCTCTCCTGAGGGCTGGAGTTGCTGGCTAGTCTCTCTGACTTTTCCTGAAAGCCACCACACTCTCGACAGCAGCTGTACCATTTTACGGTCCCACCTGCAATACATGTGCACGCCAGTTCCTCCACATCCTTGTCAACACTTGTTATTTTCTGATGTGTGATTGGTTTTTTTTTAATTGTTGTTTGATTAGAAATTTACAGATAACAAATTCGATTTCCTTTTACCAGTGTATCCACACTTTGTTTTGTCATGTTTGTAGTCTCCTCTGTGTGACAGCCCGCTTCCCACTTCCTCCCTGGAATCCTATCTCCTTTGTCCTTCATTCCTTTGCCTTCCTGCTGTCTGAGCTTTGTTTGGGGACCAGTGCTGCCTGTTGTTGCTGTCTGTTCTGCTGATAGCCGTACACGATGACTGCAATAACGGGCCCAGCACAGCAGAGTTTGTGAGGATGGCCCACCGTTGGGCACCGTTTTGATTGTACATGGGGTCGCTGTGAGTCAGTGACACTGAACACTTGGGTGTGAAGTGATATGATAACCTTGGTCATTTTGATTTGTGTTTGTCTAAGACTAATGACAAGGGACCCTGGTGGTGTAATAATTAAATGATCTGATGCTAACTGAAAGTGTGGCAAACCGAAAGGTGGGCAGTTCAAACCCATTGGTCAGTCTTTGGGAGGAAAGGACCTGTCCATCTGGTCCGTCAGTATTATAATTTAAGAAGCTCTGGTCTGTTTTAGAGGATCTCTGAGTCACAATAAATGTACTCCATGTAATGCAAGATTAGTGACATGGAAGAGTTGTTTTAAAAAAAAGTGTTTATAAGAATATCTTAGCCCAGAGACGCATGGTTCGAATCCACCAGATGCTCTGCCGGGAAAGGAGGGACAATCTCCTCCTGTACCAGTCAGATCTGATCTGACGGTACACAGACACACATACACAAAATAATAAAAATAATAAAAAAAAAGAATATCTTAGGTAGCTCCACAATTAAGAGCTACAGCAGGTCTGGGAAGTGCTAATAAATGATGGCTGCAGTTGTTGCCCAGGTGGACAACTAGGCGTGTGACCACCAGGTTTAGTCCACCACCAGAAGGAATTTGTGGGCACGGCCTGATGCTGGATCCGGTCTTGGGACCCAGTCTCACTGTTCTGTCCTTGGAGTTCCTGCTGCAGTGAAAGAGGGATGGAAACAGTAGGTGTGGCCGTGTTGGGATAAATGGAATAAGTGGTGAAGAGAGAAAGGACGGCGAGGGCCTGGGTGGGGAAGGCAAGATAGGAGGCCAGACACAGGTCCCAGCAGAACCGTGGCTGGAGATGGGAATGGCATGTGTAGGTCTGGGACTTGATGGAATGTGTTTTGGCTGCTAACAGAAGGATTGATACCTGGTACCTCAAAAATAAAAAGCCTGGTGACCTTACTTCCAGGAAATGGGGCCTTGGACACACTGGAGCAGTTCTGCTCTGACATGTGGAGTTGCCATAAGGTGGCATCAATTCAATGGCACCGGATTTTGTCTTTTCAGAAGTTGATGTGATTGAACATAAGACACTAAGAATTTAGGGCCTGGTATGAGTGTGGGCAGTGACCCATCATGGAACGGCTTGTGTGCCATCCCTTCTTCCTCTCTGGGTCCTTGGTAACCCTGATGGAACCTAGACCATGAGGAACCCTCATGGAACATAAACGTCCATCGAAGTCCATGGAAGTTAAATGCTTCCGTGGAATACTTGAGCTGAACTTCTTGGCTGTATTTTTCAGGCTGTTTTGCAGAGCTCTGTGAGCTGATGCACCTAGGGTTATGTGGACATGTCGGAACAGCGCATGTGCTGCTGACGTGGGAGGCCCCGACTGCGTGGGAGATGAGTGACACCTGGCAGAAGGCTTCAAGTCAGGGCTCAGGAGTAATTGGCTTTGAAGCCAGTCCTGCGATTTGTACCTGGATGTGGTTATAGAGATTTCTAATTGCTGGTGCTGAGCTAAGCCAGCTTGCCAGCCATCCCAAGGGCATCCCAGGTCTAATCCTCCAGGACTTTGCTGGAAGAATTGGCAGCTCATGACAGGCTTGGCGTCCACGGTGTGCTCACAGTCGTTGCAGGTCTGACTCATCACCTGGTGCTCAGGCCGTGTGCACTTCAGTCCTACTCCGTCAGCACTCCTCACGAAGGGGTGATGGAGGGTGGAAAGAGGAGGAGCCTGAGGTGTGTTGAGTACCTGCTGTTTGCCTGGTGCTGTGCCGAGTGCACCATTTTTAAAATGTAGGAAAGCAAGGTTGAAGAGCTCGGTAAACTCAGGATGCCAGGATGGCACATAAGCAGAGCTCATGTTTTCTTATGCTTTCCTGGGAGTCCCCTGGTGACTCATACAGATAATCGCCCACTACCAGCCAGAGGGTGGCAGTTGGAACTCACTCAGAGGCCTCTCGGAAAACAGGTCTAGTGGTCCCTGAAAACCTGAGGGAACTCTTCTCAGCACATAGCGACTGCCCCTGGGTTGGAATGGACTCAGAGGCAACAGCACCAGTTCCAGCCCTACCTTCCTTCCAGGCTGGGTAGTCTTGGCTTTCCTACTGCAGCCATGGTGGTGCGATTTCTGTAGTGAAATAAGTCAGGACTAATGGACCATGCAAACGTCATCTTTGGAACCCTGAGACGAGGAAGGCTAGATGTGCACAGCCATCACAGCTGACTGCTCTGGAAGTGATCACAGTAGATCTCAGAGTCCGGGATAAATGTGGAACCAAACTCAGAATGATAAAGACCAAGTTTACCAGCCTGATAGAGACTGCTGGAACCATGAGACTGTGGCCTTTAGTCACCCTTCAAGCCTGAATGGAAACCAGCCCTGTGACCCTGTAATAGCCACATAGGGTAAAAAGGGGACATTTGCCAGGGGATTGAGCTCAGAAGGCAGGAAAGGATAAGAAAGAAGAATGACTGGAAATAGACTTGGAGGAATTGGGGAAAGTGCTTAACTTTGTGGGGATTGCAGTCTAGGTCAGGAAACAAAATGTATGAATTGTTCAGTGGAGAAATCAATTTGCTGTATATACTTTGACTCTAATCACATGAAGTTTCTCTTTTACAGGAAAATAAGCATCTCTAATTTTACATGCAGTGCTTTCTTTTATGTTCTGGTTATTATCCAACCTGAGGAGTAATATGAGCTAGCAGGTCAGAAGTGAGGTGTCTTGCAGACCCCCAAACTTGTTAGCTGGTATCTGAAGTCTCAGGGCAGGCATTGCACTCGGGAGACCTGTCTAACACTCTATCTGACCTAGCACTGGTGGCTCTGGGGTGAGGAGCAAGTGCTACTGTGCGTTTGCAGTTGGGGCCAGGACGGACCAGGACTGGAACGATTCCCTTCCCTCAGTTGGTGTCAGAATGAGAAGTGGAAGAGATTGTACTGATTTGTCATCGATTGCTGCAAACACTGGCTCTGGCAGAGCTATTGATGGACCCTGTGTCTGTCCTGTTTACAGGTCTGTGGGAACACTGGGCAATGAACCTGAGATTCCAGGCCGGCGTGGTCTGAGCTGTGCCAGGGCAAGATGGCCATGGCCCCAAACCTGTCCATGCCTCAGGTGTACACCAGCCCTGTGGCAGTGTCTGTGTGGGAGTGGCAGGACGAGCTGGGCACCTGGCACCCTTACAGCGCCATCGTCTGCAACTACATTGAGCAACAGTTTGTCCAGCAGAAGGGCCAGCGCTTTGGAGTGGGGAGCTTGGCTCACAGCATCCCCCTAGGCCATGCTGACCCCTCACTGGCTCCTTACATCATTGACCTCCCCAGCTGGACGCAGTTCCGCCAAGACACAGGTAACAGCTTGCCTTCAGCATTTATCCACGGCCTGCTTTGGGCAGGGTGCTTTGCTAGGTGTTGGGGATATAGGTTACAGAAGTAAACCACCACTTTGTTCTGCCCTGAAACACACAGTGTCAGGAGATGAGTGCAGTGGATACATGCAGTGTGGGATGTGCCTCTTCATAGTAGAGGCCACTGTGGAAGCACATCACAGAAGCTGCCACATCCCCTGCCCCCATATCACCTGTTACACTGGCCTCATGTGCAAAGACTTGAGGTCCTGTGAGGAATTCCAGCTCCATTGCTCAGCAGCTGTGTGACTTGGGTGGAGGACTTCATGCAGCCATGTTTGCGTTTTAAAAATCCATAGTGCATTTTGGTAATTATCACCAAGAGGTCCACCCAGAGCTGTGCTCTGTCTGCTAATCCAAGGGTGCTCTTACTTCGAGGCGGTTGACTCTCCCAGGGACATTGACTCCCAGGGGATGTTTAGCAATGTTAGGAGCCAGTTCTAGTGTCATTATTGGGTGGAAGGAATGTTACTAGCATGTAGTGGCTTGAAGTCACAGATGCTAAATGACCTACATTGCACAGAACACAACAGTGGTCTGGCCCAAAATGTCAGTAGTCTCGAGGGTGAGAAACCCGCTTTCATCCAGGTCAACAGCATCCTCCTCCACCCCACTGCCAGCAAAGCCATTCTGACTCATGGAAACCCTCCATTGGTTTTCAGGCTCTTAAGTCTTTAATAAGCACTGGTGGCATAACCCAAAGGCAGTGCCTCTCTGGTGGTTCAAATCCACCAGGGCTCTGAAAACGATGAGTCCTCATCAGTCTGATGCAGATGAAAGGCCTTGCTTTTGTAGAATTGCCAACCAGGTGAGAAAGTAAGCAGATAAGGTACAAAATACACAAATTATGTGTTAAGGTGCTAATAAGAATGGTTATTAAGGGAGAGGAAAGAAATCGGGAGGGACACAGTATAAAATGTTGGGAGAGGTTTGGCTGGGTGCCAGGGTGTTAAGAAGAAACTAGAGACGGGTGGCTAGCGCAGGCCCTCCTGAGCTTTTCAGTCCCAAGCAGGGCTTTTTCTTTTCACAGGAGAGCCATGGCTAGGTTTGGGCCAGAAAGAGACATATTCTGACTGGCACTTCAGAGTATTTGGCCACTGTGGGAGAAAAGGGGTGGTTTTAGCTTTCTTTAAGCTTATTTTAGTTTGTAGTTTTTTTATAATGAAGCTTTGTTATTAGATTTTTTTAAACCCTCATTGGGTGTAAGCCACAACTGACTCTTGGCCAAAACTTCTAGCATAACCTTTTCCTGCCGACACTCTCGTCTTGCTGACACCCCCCTTCTGCCAACACTCCCCTCCTGCTGGTTCTCTTCTGTTACTTGACTCCTTTTGGTTGTGGTTCTTGACCTTTGGAGGGATCTCCATCCTTCATCTTAAAATTGGGTAAGAATAGCTAATGCCAGCCACCAGCTCAAGTAATAGCACAAAAGTATATACGTAGTGGTCAGATTTAATTTGGTTATAGGAAAAAGGCTGTTTAACTGCCCTTTGTTTCTTGGGCTGGCAGATTAACGGTTTGCCTGGAACTTTCTTTACCCAGGTACCATGAGGGCCGTGAGGAGGCACCTGTTCTCGCAGAACTCAGCTGCAGGCCGGGGCATCGTCTGGGAGTGGCTGAGTGACGATGGCTCCTGGACAGCCTATGAAGCCAGCATCTGCGACTATCTGGAGCAGCAGATGGCCAGGGGCAACCAGATCGTGGACTTGGCTCCCCTGGGGTACAACTACACTGTCAACTATGCCACCTACACTCAGACCAACAAGACTTCAAGCTTCTGTCGTAGCGTGCGACGCCAGGCAGGGCCACCTTACCCTGTGACTACTGTCATTGCTCCGCTGGGCCACATGGGAATCACCTGCTCTTGCCACCAGTGCCTCAGTGGCGGCGGAACTGGACCTGTGTCAGGCCGCTACCGCCACTCCATGACCAACCTCCCTGCATACCCTGCCCTGCAGCCCACTCACAGGACCACCATGGTCTTCGGGACTCATCAGGCCTTTGCCCCGTACAGCAAACCCTCTCTGTCTGGGGCTCGGTCTGCACCCAGGCTGAACACTACCAACCCCTGGGGTGGGGCAGCCCCTGCCCTGGGAAGCCAGCCCCTCTACCGCTCCAGCCTCTCTCACCCGGTCCTTCTGCACATGCCCCTCGGATCCGCCACGTCCAGCCAACCCAGGTATCTCAGGTCACTGTTGGTCATTTTGTCCGTCGTTTGGGCCTTGTCAGCATGCAGTGGGGAGACTCGGATCCTGCAGACGTGGCACTTGCTCCCTCTGTGCCTTCAGTTGTCTGTGATATAGTCTCATTTGTAAGTGCCACATGGGTGCCAAGAAGTCACTTCTGCCCACAGATGTCCCATGGAGCTTTCCTTACCTCTGGGTATTGGAGATCTGTTAGCTGCCGCACTGGTGTTGAAGTCAGTAACCTCTCTGCTCACTCGTGAGGATAGGGCTGTCTGTGCCTGGTTTAAGACCCCTTCCCAGGGCTGATGTGCTGCCCCCCTTGTGGCTGTGTGCGCACTGACGCCTCCCAGGTGTCAGGCGGTGCAGGTGCAGAGCTTGAAGGTACAGTTCTGGCCCTGAAATGCACAGCCCAGTACAGGGAGGCTGCCGTCCAGTGTGTTGAGGTACCAGATACTGAGGTTTCGAGGTGTGGCAGCAGGTAACAGACAACCAAGCCCCAACTGTTTCTGAGAGCTCTCCATACTGGGAGAATGCTCTTGAACTAACAGATCCAGTCCAGACCAGACTCGGTAGTCTTTTAAAGTGAGAAAACCCACTGGAATTGACCAATGGATAGAGATTTCTGGGTTGGTTTGTGACAAAGCTGGCCAAAATGAGACATTGTTCATCTTTGTTGGGAGTATTGGGCATGGAGAACATGGTGAGAATTCTCATGTTAGCCAGCTTGCAGGCTGCCTTTTTTTTTTTTTAAAAAAAAAATTTATTTTACTTTTTGTGTGTGCCGGCAAATCGGATCTGACTGGTACTGGAGGAGATTGTTCCTCCTCCTCCAGCAGAGCATTTGCAGGCTGCTTTCTGAGAGAGCGAACTGGTGGGCAGAGGCTGACCATGCGCCTTGGGGCCACCTTGTTTCCCAGGTGGTGGGCATCTTGTTGATTTGGTGCCACCTAATCCCATCTCTGCCCTCTTTACCCTGATGAGGGCTGAAGTGTCACAAAGAGGCCAGTACCACTGTAATAACCGCTTGGGCTTCCAGAATTTGTTCACCCTCAGCTTCAGATAGTGTAAGATACAGTGACAGTAGCTACTGCTCATTCCATGCCAGGCCCTGTTGAGCGGGCAGCGTGAATGATCGTAATAACTCCCATAATAGTCTGTGGGTGGATGGTCAGCTTACAGCTTAGCACATTGAGACCTATGAGATTGGCAACTCAGTAAACAAGTACCAGGACTGGGCCTAAAACCCGGACCCCAGGACTATCTGGCTCATGTGAGGAGTTCTTAAAGCCCTCTCAACAGTGGAGGGATGAGAAGGCTGACAGTATCTTAACAGATGAGTGAGGCTTCGCACTGTAGCCACACAGGAGGGTGAAGAGCTTGGATGTGTCAGTATATTATCCTGGGAAGTTTCTCGTTGGGGCTGGGCTTCTGGATCCCAGATCTTCCTGCGAATGGCGAGAAGCAGAAGGTTCACTTGAGCCGGGTGTGGTTATTCACATTAACCTAAGCCAGCAGGCTCTGTGGGGTCCCCGTCCCCATGGGCTCTGAAGGTCTCTCCACAGCCTCTTTTTCAGCGTGTCAGTCAGAGTAAAGGGTGACAGGCCAAGAATGCTTGTCGGCAGCACTGAGCCTTCTAGGTCTGCAGTGCCAAGTCTCCTGGGGCTCTAGCTCCTTACGGATTATTTTGAGGCAAATTTCTAAATAGTTCTAGATTCTGTGCTTAAGCAGGTGACTTTGTGGGCTTTGTTTCTGTGTGCTAGAAAGGGGCCCTCCCACTGGTCTCCTGTGAATACTCCACCCCTGCAGCTTGTTTTTCTGGGCTCCCCTGCTTTTGCCCCAAGGCCAGCAGAGACTGCTGATGTGGCCATCCTGGTGCAGGTTGGGCCAGTTCCCGGAAGGAAGGTTCGGGCCAGACGCCTCCCTTCCCCTCCAGTGTGGGACATGCGTGCTGTGGCTTGCCCTGCGCTCTGCGAGTAAGCCAGGAGGGAGCCAGGCCAGGGGCTCTGCTAGTTGTAGCCGCCTCCCAGGACTGGCCTGCTGGGGAAGGTGTGCATCTGTTTCCTCCAGCGCTTCAGGAGCTGTGAGGGCTGTAATTCACTTGCACAGGCCCATCTGGATTATGAAACTTGCGTTCCCCACGCCTAGTTTATAGTTTGCCCTTCCCCAGCAGGTGTTAGACGGGTGGAGTAAGCTGCTGAGAACTGAAAATACATGGCTCCCCCTTCCTTCCTCAGGGCTTTGGTGAGGTTCTCAACTCCAAGTGAATGTCATTGTGGTGAGGGAAAGTGACCATGTATCAGGTGACAGGACAGGAGGCAGGCAAGTCTACAGACAGAGCCCTGGCTGAGAAAGCCTGCCTTTACTGGCAGCTGTTAGAACTACTGTTTTCAAGGGTAAAGGAGGCACTTCTTGGACCCAGGCTATTTGAAATCTCTTGTGCGATACTCTCACATCAGCCGAGTGAGTCACACCCCGCAGGCGTGTCATTAGCCTCTGAGCTGCCTGGGTTCAAGAGAATTTCCCTGTTTTCTGAATTTATCCCTCTGAGCACCAAAACTGCTGTTAATCATGTTTAATGGAAAACTTTCCAAATCTGTCATGCACACTCTTGCTTTCTTTAAGAGAGGGTGTGACTTGTTTAGAATTTTGACGGCTTGAGGTAGTAATTATGACCTGCAGTCAGTGATGTGGTTCACCCTCGGGTGCTTTGCTCCTGCACTATGAGGCCTCAGAAGACTCTCCTGGTGTGCTCTCATCTGCTCTGCTCCTCGGGCCTCCCTGCTGTCGGCCAGCCTGTTTTGACTGCTGCTGGTCTTGACTTCCGCAGAGTCCTAGGTTCCAGGCAGGGTGTTAACTCCTGGTTCATGTAGGTCATTGTGTCAGCTCTGTCCTTCTTTCCATGTTTCATTTTTCCTTTTAGAAGATGAACACCTGTCTTGTTAGTTCTAAAGTTTCCTTTTGCTCCAATATTGCTATATTTTTCAGGATTTAATGGGAGCCCTGAAGGAAGGCATTTGGTGACCCAAGGGGATTCACTTTAACTCCTTCTGTTCCTTAAGGTTCTGGACAGCAGTGGACACAAGTACTGAGCTTTAGATTAAACCTCAAAACCACCCTTGGAGTGTTGGTATTGCCCCCATCTTATAATTGGAGAAACGGGAGCTTAGAAAAGGGCATGGGATATACCCAGGCCCCACAGCTTTGGGGACACTAAGAAGCTGGGGCTCCAGATTGCCCATTCTTGCCCCACATCACATGGTCAGAGATCCATGTGTTGGTATCGATTTGCCAGCTGGGATTGTAATTCTTGAGGCGCTGGAGAGAAACTTGGGGTTCTTTTCTCTCCAGCCTCCTGACATTGCTCGTTGCTTGGTACTCTGGAAGGAAGTCTTCATGTCTCATATTTGAGGTTTTTCAGGAAGCTTCTTAAGGTGGACAGGCAGTTAGCAGTAGGCCCAGAAGCAATAACAATGAAGACAAACCAGTTGTGGGGTTCCTGCCAGCTCATGGCGACCTAGGGCTTTCACGTGCTTACCAGCGTTTCCAGTTGCTGCCCTCCCAGGCAGATGGCTGTGGTCCTTCTGAGGTGCTGCTGGGTGAGCTCAGGTCTTTGATCTCTCACCTAGAAGCTGATTGCTTCACAGTTCATGCCTCCAGGGACTCCAGGCCCAGGAGCACAGGAGAGGGTTTTGGTTTTTTTTATTTAGTTCTTGTGTTGCGTTGTGACTACTAGGGAGAAGGTAACCCCCAAGGAGAGCACTTCACAGGGCACAGGGCGCCCCATAGTGGGTAGCAGCCTGTCAAGTGGAGTTTTCTGAGGACAGAGGAAGTAAGGTTTCAGGTCAGTGGCCCCTGAGGTTTTGTCCGGCTCTGCGAGTCCTCATCTTGAAGCTACTGGGCCTTTCTGACTGTCACAGCAGGACTTCCATGAGAGGAACTAAGCCGAGCAGTGTGGGCAAGCGGCGCAATGGTCAGAGCCTTCATAGAACTCAGTCACAGTTCCTGGGCTCCAGTTTCGGGTGAGATGCCCGTTGGCACCCTCACTCCTGTCTCCTTTCTGCTCCGGGTCTTAGTAGTGAAGCTAAGCCTCCTCTTGCAAACATGCTCCTCTCCCAGGTGGGCGGAGACCACACTTCCAGAATGGATTTTGTTGGGGTAGGACAGTCAGGGACCCCATCTCTGTTGGGACCATGGCCTTTCCTGCTCAACAGCCCACTATGTTTGTGGGATGGTAAAGCTTGGGTTTTCTTGACTTCTAGCTCAGGGATGACAACACTTAGTGTTCTCTGGGGAGTTGGTTTGGGATATCTGAGCTCAAGAGGAAGTGAAGGACTGGGAGGCTGTGTGTCTCCAGATTTTTCACTTACAAAACCAGAGAAATTTAGAGTGTGCATTACCACCTTCCTTTAATAAACAGAGAAGCAGGCTCAGGAATGGGAAAACCTGCCTGAAGTTTAACACTTTTAGCAGAACCAGGGCGTTAGCCCAGGCTCTCCACCTGCCTCCTCTTGCATTATCTAAATCCAGTTGAGGCGGCCAGAGTGCTGTTTGAGTAGCACAGCCACACAGGTTACCCTATCTGTGGAGTTGGAACCCAGGGAATTGAAGCAAAACACCTCATTTTGTTCTCAGACAGATATCACAGACTTGCTCTGCCTCCAGCCCTGTGCATGGCCCTGGAAGCTTTGGCCTCAGGGGGATGAGAAGTTTCCCAGTCAGATCAGAACCAGCCAGCTCCTTGGGATCTTTGCCACCGGGATTTGAGACCCATGGCTGATGGCAGGATTTGGGGCACTCTCTGGAGGCCATTAGCTATAAGCAGCCAGTGGCTGGTTTGCTGGCGGCTTGAGGGAACCTCAGCAGCCTGGGACCATCCTTCATTGACAGAGCATCTTATCTGTCCCTGCCTCTGGGCTCAGGATCAGAAGAGAACAAAGACGGCCAGGCCCTGTTCTTGGGGCTGACATGAAGGGATTTCATAGTTCTTCATAGTATAACAGCTCTTAATATTGACGGGACAGGAAGTGGGGAGGAGTTATCAGAAGTCTTGGGCATCAGTGCCAACTACCCTTCAAAGTGGAGCTTTCTTTGAAACCAAAGTGGCATGAATTTCTTACCTTTTTTAAAATTATTATTATTTGTTGTGTGTGTACCATCAAATCGAATCTGACTGGTACAAAAGGAGATAGCCCTCGCATTCTCCAGCATAGCATCTGGTGGATTTGAACTGCCAAACTCTGGGATTGCAGTGTAGCTTCTTGCCACTAGGCCACCAGAGTGCCCTAAGGATTTCTTACCATTTTTTTAAAAATAATTTTCAGGCGAGCTCTGGTGGCCTAGTGGC